GACTAACGTTAAGGGCGAGTCGGCGATGGATATTGTAGTGCTCGACGGCGAGAGCGAGGATAAAGCTTCCGAGGACAAGGGCAATGACGTCATCCATGTAAGAACTCGCCACGTCATCGGCCTCCGCGATACCGAAGAGAGGGAAGAGAAAAAGCGGCGACATGGAGGTGATCGGCATCGGAACAGCCTCCGTCAACCACCAAGCGAACACCCATACAAGAACGGCGAGCATGTTCCTCGCCGTGGTCGTGGTGTCATCTTCGCCGAGTCGTACGCATAGACAGACGACGGCGCAGAGAAGAGGACCGAGAGCGATGTAACAGTTTTTGGGCGTGAATATTGTCCGGAGATGTTGTCCCACCGATTGTCGTTCGAATGGTTCGTTGTAACGGATGACTGGTAATAACGGAGCTTTTGGATCGTCGGATTCGGCTACGGAGACATCACCACCGTTCATTTCTGTTAATTCTGTTTTTTTTTTTAGTGGATATGGAGAAAAAAAAAAAGAAATAGAGAAATGTATAAGAGAACTAAAGAAGGGAGAGGAGGAGCCCTTTTATAAATCAATTTATTTTGTTATTTTAATTAATGTGTTTGGCTACCCAAAAAAGAAAAACATATAAAATGTTTTATAGATTTATGTTATAAATTTATTGAATTAATAATTGGCGTGGTTATAAAACATGGTATTCGGTTCATGAGCGTGAGTGACACATGCTTAGTAGAGTTTTTTGTTTTTGTTTTTCGTTATTGTTGATACGTGAGTTCAATATATTAAACAGTAAGAGTAAGAGGGCTCAGAAATTCTCGTTTATTGATAACGTGCTCGAAAATGGATTACAAGCATCATACAAATAAGGAGTAATGAATGTAAAGGATGTTGAGCTCGAAAACTTATAAGCTGACGAACCTTGTGTTTCGCGGATTAACTGAGTAACGAAATCGGCGTGATCGGTGTTCTGAGGTCGGACACTGATTGATAAGCAAGTGTAATGAGATCGGGAACTGGGTGATAAGTAAGTGTAATGAGATCGGAAACTGGGTGATAAGAGCACTGTGATCAGAATAAGTACGAACTCTGCAAGCCGTTTTCTAACGAACTTTGTACGATTCCGGCGGAATGTACGGATAGAATTCTTTTCTTTTTTGGGCGAGTTAGAGGCCTAAAAACCGTTGGTCTTTCAGATCCCTTGTACTCTTTCCAAAAGGTAATAACTGATGAATATTAGAAGGTGGGGGGATCCCTATTTATACTAGATTGAAGAGGTGCATTTATGTAGGATTTCTCTTGAAATTTGAGTTGGGTTCGGACTACTCCCTGGCCGAGTTCAGCGAAATGGGCCTTATTATTATTTATAAGGACCACGCCCAACAATTCTGTAATTTTTTTGTTTTTTTCGTTTTTAATTTGTAGATATATATTGTCCTTAAAGTATAATGTCATCCAACGTGTATGACAAATATTTGCTGGTTCTTGATTAATTTGATTAATCATGTATGGGGAGGGTCGTATTAATGAAAAGAGACAGTGTATTTTCTTGAAAGACAAAACCGCATTATTGGATAATAGGTTGTATATGATTGATGACTTTTCAAGTTATCTAGGAAGTTACATAATAGTTTTGTATTTTACTAATATACAACGGAGCCATGAAAATGATGGGGTCTAACAAATTTACAAGTTACAAGTGGCGAAGTTTTGATGGTTGATAATTTTTCTAAAGTTTGGAATTTGATGACCCATAAGGATATTAGAGATTAAGATGACAAGTAATCATCACAATTTAATTATTGCTAATTAGTTATAATTTTATAGTAAATACCTATTGCTATATGGAAAAAACATTATTTTAATTCCAAGAGTTATAGATAGACTTGAGATTGTAGGTTCTCCATTTAACATTCATAGTCTTGTAAGGCAACAAAGAGTTGGCAAGAAGAGTAAGCGAGATTGAATGAGACACGTTTATACAAAATGCAGCCTTTGGTACGTCTCCAGAGCCCAACTTCCCTGGTTCTTACCTTCCTCTTTTTTGTCCTTTCTCTCCA